CAGGTGCAAGTCGAGCAGGCTGAAGAGAGAATCAGAGAAATGTACCATCTTGTAAATGTTGCCCTTGCCCGTCTGTCGGCAGCCTGCCCCGTGGAGGGACAAGTGTTTCCTAGTGTGGGGGGCGAGCAGTCCCCCGTGACACACCTGCTGTGGGGGACACTCCACCTCCCTAGACAGAGCTCCCTTGCTGCAGGCCTCAGGGAGTGTCTGGGGCTGGACCTGCGACGGCTCCTGACATGGCCCCCTGTCCTCCTCTTCATTCCCTTGTGGAAGGCTCTCCAGAGTGGGGTTTTGAATGGCTTCACTGATGAGATCACAGATGGCTGTGCGAAGTCAGTGCTGGTGACATTTCCCACCCCCACATCTCATTCACCTGCAATTTCTGTGGCTCAACCTCCAAACCGTGTCCTCACTCCTTATCCTGGCCTTCCCCTGGCCCAGGCCACCACCATCTCCCACGTGTCTGAACTTGTTTCCTCATCTGTGAAATGGCGCAGAGATGCCCACTCCACAGGCTGCTGGATCCCGTGGCACAGCAGGTGTGCAAAACGTGAGTCACAATGAACAGGTCACTCCCTCCTGCAACTGGGCCTCCTGGGCTCTCAGATGGCCACCCTTCCTGGGGTCAACTCAGAAGATTCTTCCCACCCACGGTAAATCCATCCTTTTCTCCTTGGGATTATTCTTTTCTTAATTATTGGTGGATGATTGCCGGGGCACCTCCGGATTTGACTAGTTAATAACTCATTTGAGAACTTATGTCTCTAGAAGATCAAACTGAGGTTCATCATTATTGTTACCAGTTTAATCCCTAGGCCACGGGAGGGTCCAGGGGCTAACTGAAGTGGAAGGACATCTTGGCCTTCTTGACACATTTTTCACAGGGAGATCTTGGGTGGGCAAGCCCCAGGCCACTGGTGGGGGACAGGGGGAGGGGGAGGGGGACAATGAACAGACTTTTACGCATTTCGAGGAGAAGTCAAAGCAAACCCTTTTTGAGGGAAAATCTACTCAATCCAGAAGATTCTATGGTACTCCCTCCTGCAATGGGAGAGAGGGGGGCAGGCTCACCCTGCGGGAACCTAAAACTATGGGTCTGGAATCCAGGTCTGACTGGAGCTTAACAGGTTCAGAAAATTCCTTAAGTCCTGGCCTTTCCCCTCGACCGCATCTCTTTTACTGGGTGCTTTAATTTCTGCCCAAATATAAAATGCCTCTCTCTTACTCTGATGCCTCGGTGTGGGTGGGGCTCTGAGAGAAGACACCAGTGGCACGAGGAGGGGCTGGCACCCACTGGGTCCTGTGGGACTGCCACCCTGAGATGGTGGGTATGAGCTCTCCCCTTGAATCTGGGTGGGATTCGTGACTCTCCGGCCAGTGCAATATGGCAGGAGGGACACTGCTAATTTACGGACCTAACCCTTCAAAGGGTACGAGCCTTCACTTCCTTTTAGGGCCCTTCCCTTGGAGCCGCGAGCGGCCACACAGTGTCACACTGAGCTGCTCCGCTCAGGCTAGCCTGGGGGACACACTGCAGGAAGAGAAGCGGGCGCTGCCCGGATCCCCTCCAGCCAGCCCAGCCCAATCCAGACCCACGCGAAGGAGGCTTCGATGGCTCCAGCCCAGCCCCATCTTCCCCAGGAGTGGGAACCAGGCGACGGGCCCTGCCAACCTGGGCAGCAAGGGGCAACAGCTGGCCTTGGGGCTGCCTAGTTTGGGGCTGGTTTCTCTGCAGCCAGAGGTATCTAGAATTCAGGACCAGATTCCATCCCAGGTCGCTCCATAAAGGGAGACGCATCCTGAGAAGGGTGGGCCAGGGAGCGGGACCTCGGGGATCAGAAGCTGCAAGCGCAGTGAGGAAACCACAATCTAAAAGCAAGTCGAGGGGACAGGGTTCCCCTTTCCTTCCCTCCTTCCCCCCCCTCGGTCGCCTTTCTCTATTCCAATATTCTCCCTCTTCCTAAGATTCCCGAGGTGCCAGACCTCTCTGAGCCACTGATGTCTCCTTGGTCTTGCTCTCCAGCTTCTGCATGTCCGAGAGAACCTTTGACCCTTGACTTTCTGAGGCTGGCTTAGTTCACTCAGCCTCATCTTCTCTGGTTCCATCCATCTGCCAGAAAATGCCGTAACCTCATTCTTCATGGCCGAGTACAACTCCACTGTGGATATATACCACATTTTTTTTACCTAATGATTGTTCTTAATAATCGTCCTTTATCTGGCATTTTGGTGACACTTTGTTATCGTGTGATTTTAAATTACCATGTGAAGAACGAGGGAAGCCAGGGAAAATGAGATTGGGGTCAGGACACCCGGTGGAGGGATCATGGTCCACACCCAGTGAGCATTTAGGTTCCAGGTTTCAGTCTATGGACTCAGTTAAT